CCGCGGGGCTCCCGGCGCCCCCCGCCCGCCGCGCTGCGGGCCGGGCGCGGGTCCGGCCACCTCCTCGACGGGTTCGCGGCCGTTTCGTTGTACGCTCCTGTCACCACGAGGGAGCTGCTTCCCTCGAGCGGAGACGGCAAAGGGGACAGACTTCTCCCGGGAGTCTGAAGGGGATAAAAACGAGCGCTGGCTTCTCTTCCCTTCGGGAGAAAGCGGAGGCAAAGTCTCCCCTTTCGGCTTGCTTCGTGCCGAAAGCATCAACAGAGAAAATAGGGGTCCGGCGAGCACAGAGTTTAAGCCACCCCAGCGCTCCCTCGCAACATTCATTAACTTCCAGAGCTCCTGCACGGCGGAGCAGAGCGGCAGCGAGGCGCAAGATAACCCCAAGTGCGCTTAGAAAACACAAAGAAACCACCCCCCGCGAGAGCCTTTGCCTCCTCCCACCTCCCCTGCACATCCCATTGAAACTTAAGGCTGTGCAAGTCACAGGCACAAGAGGTACCGTCAGAAACCCTCTTTCCCCAATAAATTTAGGCAATAAAGGAAGGTATTTTTAAAAGACTTTTCGGATAGATTCCACCGCGCTGTTCCCTCTACAGCAAAACCTTTCTGTTTATTTATTTAAATCGTATTTCCTTATACTAAGCGCTGAAAGCGGAGAAGGCATTTGAAATAGAGGTGGTCCCATCTGGAAAAGCCCGCAGCTCATTTAGATCGCAGCACTTCGGGCTTTTGTCTCTGCTCTTGAATAACCCAGCTCGGCACAACAAAAGGGCAGGGGGGACCCGGCGTGGACTTGGCCGCCGCCTGCAAGGGGGACGATGCATCTACCGCCCTAATTCCGGGGGCGGCGGCGGGGTTGGGGGGGGCACTTGGGTGGCACCGGGAGCGCTTGGCCGTGGGGTKGTGCTCAGCGGCCCTCGCAGGGCTGGAAGGCACCGGGCTTTTGTGTGCGGCGGCCGTGCGACACGCGACGAGGTGGCGGGTCCTGCCCCGGCCGAAGCCCCCGGCCGCGCATCCCTCCCCGGCGCCCAGGGAACAACCCACCCGCGAGCGGCTTCTCGTGGGCAGCCCGGGCACGGGTGGAAACAGCTGCAAATTGAGAGGTGGGTGAATAAACCCCCCGGGAAAAAAAAAAAAAAAAAAAAAAAAAAAAAAAAAAAAAAAAAAAAAAAAAAAAAAAAAAAAAAAAAAAAAAAAAAAAAAAAAAAAAAAAAAAAAAAAAAGGAGAAAAAAAGAAATATCCCCAAGCCACCTTAGCTATTGATTCATCTTTCAAATGCATAAATTAAAGCGCCTTTCAATGAGAGGCGTGCCTAGCTCCGAGTATTTAAACGCAGAACAAACTTCCACGGCAAGGGGAAAAGAAAAAAAAAAAATCTAAGCAGATTGGGATGGGGACGAGCGAGCCCAAACTTCCGAGGGAAACATGACGTTATCACGCGGAGACGTTAGTAAATAATTCAATTTTGCGTCTTTGCAGAACCCAGTAACCTTGGGTGTCTTAGAAAGCAGATTGTACAAACAGGCAATTAAGATGAGCGCTGAGAGTTGCAGAGGAGATATAATGAAGCAGCTTTAATTACTATCTTGAAATTAAAAATGTAATATACAGATTTAAATTTATTTTCACCTAAATTGTGTATAAAATTATATGGCTTTTTTTCCCGGGCTAAGCAACGAATTGCCAAGAAGCTTGCCACTAAAAAGTCTGAAGTACTTTCCAAACCCAGTTGCCAAACACACAGTAATAATGATACATTTATCATTACTGATGACCACCCACTGCTTTATTATTGCTTTGTTACTACTATTACAATCAAGAGATTTCTTTATTTACTGTTAACATTCACTTAAAGCTGAATGTTAATGACTCTTCTGAATTCACCAAAGAGTTTTCCGTTATATTTCAGGAGTAGTTACGTTTTGGGCTGCAGAAATGGCAT